TGGCAGTCAACACCATGGAGCTGTACGGTGATGTATTGCCCTGGAACCTCGCCTGTCAGTAGCTTTTCTCTTGTATTAATTAGTGCCGCTTAACTAACCTGGAATCACCCACAAGCATTTTGTGAATGAAAAGGGCTAATATTTATCTGATGGCTGAAAGCAGAACTCCGGGCAAAAAAAAAAAATCATAAAGAAGAACTCAAGGAACATTTTTTTAATAACTCCTGCAGTGGGGCTACTCCGGCACTGCAAGGGTTAACTGCTCATTTATGTCTGGGGTTAATTTAAAAAAGTTATACTCAGCTGATGCTCAGAGGCGGCTTGTTCTTATCTGGTCCCTGGAGCCTCTCTACCCCTCCACTGCAGGGGTGTAAGGTCCCATAAATCATCACGTTCTATACACTGTGTATAGACCTGAGGACGCCGAGGAAGATTCCAATGCTGGGTGCGGGGTGTCAACCGGAGCAGAGACCTCGCGGTGACGTCATCGCGCATGCGCGGTAATCTAATTGATGCCTGCCGGCGGCCATCTTGCTGATGGACGCCGGCAGATAAAGGAGGGGACGTTCACCCTGCGGGATGAGGTATGCCTCTCCTGACACTGTCAGGCTCTCGGTCCATGACCGAGTGCCCGACTTTTTAGAGGGGGTGACACTAAAATAACTGTCAGTCATTTTAGCCTCACCCCTCCAATGGTGTCACTCGGTGTGGGCCGCACCCCCAGCACCCCCCTTGTAACGCCACTGCCTTGCAGCAGGGCTACCCCCGCACTCCAAGGGTTAAGTGCTCTTTTTGTCTAGGGTGCTAAAATAACACGCTCACCTGATATACTTAGCCGAACCGCAATCTCGGCTTGCTGCTAGAGCTGTCCCAGCAGCCTTGCTCCCCTTCTGCTCCAGTGGTCTAAGGTCCACTGAGTCATCACATTCTAAACAGCATCCTCCTTACTGCAGGAGTCCACTCCAAGTAAGCGGCAATGCTAGCGGCGGATGGGGGTCACTGGCCCATCCATGTTACAGTGGCACTTGTCAGCTCAGGCCAGAGCACTTCTACATGAGGGAGGTCACACGCTCCTCCATATCTGGAAGCCCCGCTTCTTTGAGGCAACGGAATGAGGGATCTGACAGAGCTAGGAGGTAATGAGGGAGTGCAGATGGGTGAGTATGACATTTTGTTCATGGGCTATCCAGAAGCACTGTGCCTATACAGTGTATTTAACGAACTCCGGTTAATTTAAAAGAACACCAGGGATTTCAAAAACTTACCTTAGCAGTGGGGCTACCACTGCACTTCAAGGGTTAAGTGCTCATTTTGTCTAGGGGGGTCAAATAAAGAAGATATACTCACCTGATCCTTGGTCCTGCGGTGGTTGGCACTCAC